TCAAAATGTAGCTTTTAAAGACAAGAATCAGAAAATGTAATTAGGTCATTTTGACCTAATTTGACTTAATCCTCATTTCGATATGATGGCTCACTTTTATGCATTTTTTGCGGTGTGCATATTGCACTGGTTGTTATCGCGATAATAAATTTGCGACATATTTTGCAGTCCTAATTTAAAATGCTTTCCAAATTAATGTAAGTGATAATTTATATACTTTATATAGAATGTGGCAAATGCATTACTTTATAAAATAAAATCAAGCTGATACCAAAGCTATATTTATCTGTAAATTATCATTTATTCTTGGTTTTCTGGTAGTTTGTATTTATATAAATCTATTTTGACTCATCATGCTCATATTGCTCATATGAACAAACATGATTTTTATCAGTTTATATAAAATAACAGGCGGTGCTCAAAATCAGCAGCTTTTTTAAGTACCTGTCACATTTATATCCTTCAAATATAAAAAGTCAAAGAAAACATCTTTATACTTAAGAAAATTAGCGTAGTACTCATGATTTTACACATTTTGTCACATAACAGGCCTATTTTCTTTTAAATTTGGCTCAGCTAAAGTGAAACAGGAAGTGACATCAAAGGGGAACTCATTAATAAAATAAACTCTGGTTTTTGTTTATTAAAACAAAATTATTAAACTTTTAGCTTTTCTTCGTTTCTCTTAGTGACTAAAAATAATCTAAAGAAACATCAGATTCTTCTCCACTGTTTGTGTCGTTAGCTGTTGCAACAACGCTCTGTTTACATGCAGACATTCCCCTCTGACATCACTTCCTATTTCTTCACAGGCAAATATCTCAACAACTGTTTATCTCAGTGACGTGAAATTTGTTTTGCAACATGTTATAAATGTTATCTTTCCAAAAATGCATCCATGTTTATTACAAAGGTTTGATGTCACAGACCCTTTAATGAAACAAACGATCATTAGTTTGGAAAAGACATTTAATTTTATAACCTGCCACTGAAGCCGAAAGGTCTGAGATATTTTTGTCTGTCAGCGAAATATCTCATGAACCTCTGCACAGATTTTAGGTAAAGCTTTTGGAAAAATAATCTTTAATGTACATCAACAATGGGTCAGTTTACAGTGTCAGCCCTCTTCAAGATGGCCGCCACAGCTAATCGATATTAGTGTTTCACAAAAATGACTAACTCAACCAGTTTCAAGGACATTGAGCTAAAACTTGATGTGGTAGTAGCTGAGAGTGGTTCACAACAACATCTGCAGGCTACACAACTTGTCTTCAAAACAACAGTTCTTTGGTCTGAAAACAAACATGTTCCTGTTCAGTCTGGACTCTGTGGGACTCTGACTTTGCTCTGACTCTTTCTAGGAATACATTTGTCCGAGATGTGACTCGGGTTTCATAGAGGAAGTCACCGAGGATTCCAGGTGGGAGGCTTTTATTTTTTAAATTTTTTTCCAGACTCTGCGATGTTTTTATTTTTTTTAAGTCTTGTTAGAGCTGATCTGGAACAACTGCAGGATCTTTGATGGAAAACTGCTGATGCTGCAGTTTTTCTCCTGGTCCAGTCTTGTCCCAAACCAGCACCAGTGTTGTATAAAGTACCTCAAAGTGATACTTGAGTAAAAGTACACGTATCTTATCATAAAAATACTTTGGTAAAAGTTAAAGTCTTCTCTAAAAATATTACTTGAGTAAAAGTCTTAAAGTATCTGATATTTTTTGTACTTAAGTATCAAAAGTAAATTTCTGACACAAAATCTACTTAAGTATTAAAAGTAAAAGTACTGAGTAAAAGTGAGCAGTTAGATTTTCCAAAATGACATTTATTGGGAGGTGACTTCTCCAAAAACTATATTTTCTAACAGCGTGCAGCTGTGATGGGTTGTGTACAAGCTAATAGTGTGTCAGAATGGTATATATTTATACTTCTCATCCAAACACAATTAAATTCACTCTATAGGAGACACAGTTTATCAGGAGAGGAGTTTTTAAAGTAATAGTAACTCAGAATAAAACAGGAGTAACGACTTTCTACTTCTTACCTTTTTAAAAAATGTAGTGAGTAGAAAGTAAAGATAATTGTGTAAAAATTTAAGGAGTAGAAGTAAAAAGTAAGCTGAAAAATAATTACTCAAAGTACAGATAACCAAAAATTTTACTTAAGTACAGTAACAAAGTATTTGTACTTAGTTACTTTACAGCTCTGACCAGCGCTGAAGTTAAATCAGGGTTTGGTGCTTGTTGTTAATAACTTGTGTTTTTGTCCACTTTGTGTGTCGTTTCTCTCAGTCTCCTCGAGGGCGGTGCAAACGGGATGGATGACACAGCCACACAGTTCGCAGAGGTACGAAGAGACCATGAAGGGGGGGGTGGGGGCAGGACCACAGGCGAGAGGCGTATGAAGTAACTAAACTTGTAACTTCCTGTCTGGGTACATCCCTGCAGCTCTGGCACCTTTTGTTACTGGAGCGGCCGTTTACAGCAGACAGAGACAGTCCCGACTCAGAACCTCGGCTCCCAGGAGGACGCCTGGGGGGGGTCAGCGACCTCGGCATGCTGGGAGGCGGATCGGTCGGGGGATCGGTCCCCGCAGGTCTAGGAGGATCCGTGGGGGGTCTGCTCGGAGCCGGGGACCACTGGGGACCCGGGCGTCCGCCTCGTCTACACAGCCAAAGGAGATACAGGTCCAGAGGCAGCAGTCGGCCGGATCGCTCACCCGCCGTGGAGGGGTAGGTGATCCCTCCCCCCTCCTCTCGGACACACCCACTCATGATGACACGTGTTTGTGCTCCAAAGCGACGATGTTTAGACATGTTTGAGCTCCAACATGTTCCGAGGTGTTGATCAATGATTTGCTGCAGCTTGTTTAAGAAGCTCACAGCCTCGGGTTGTCCTCCGCTGCATGTTCAACCAGGACAATAATAAAACATCCCATGATCATACTACAACCCTTATAACCAGTGCTACCAACTCCTGAGCAAGAAAAGTCCCCATTGACTGTCCCAAAAGTCGCTACAAGTCACTAGATGATGTCATCTATTGTGATCTGAGCTATAGAGATGATAAAGAGAAAAAAAGAGAATAAAAACACTAAATATGTTTATAACTGCTATTAAACTTAATGAAATAAAAATAATTTCATGAATTTAACGCTTAGATTCACATAAATTAAATTTGTGGGAATCTTAAATGTAATCTGCAGAGTGTTAGACGTCACGAGGCACAGGGAGACAATTTTTCGGTTTTCCAATATCGGTTTTTAAAACAAAAAAATGAGTAACAATCAGTTTTTCATTTTTCAACGTCTGTTTTGAAAATGAAAAAAAAAAAAAACATAAAATGACCAAAAAGTACACGGACCATGAACTTGTCTCCAACATTTGTCCTCCAGTCAGAAACCCTTCAGGTCAGGAAGTTAGCTGCTGAGTGGCAACAATAACAAACAGGATGTGGAAATGAGATGAGCCCTTTTTAATTTAAGTTGTTATATATAACCTTTCAAACACAACTATTATAAAGGTAGGAGTGAAACCAAACCCTGGTGAGTTACAACTTTAAAACCGTTTCTGTTGTGTGACTTTATTTGTTGTGTTTGTTTTGTGTTGTCAGGATCGTACAACAGTTTCTCGCCGGTCTCTTTGCCAACTCTGGAGTTCCTGGCTCACCACCTCTGTCATGGTAAAAGTTGAACATCACAGTGACCTCATGGTGATCCTTCTGTGTTTTTATTGTAATGTTTTTGTCTCTTCAAGGACAGGGATGCTTCACTCCAACCCAGGAGATTATGCGTGGGGGCAGGGAGGCTTAGATGCTGTCATAACTCAGGTGAGCGACGTCCAGTTATAGAGCTCCTCCAGTTTTTTTTCCTCTACCTTCAACCTAACAAGTGTTGTTTGTTGTGTGTGTGTGTGTGTGTGTGTGTGTGTGTATGTGTGTGTGTGTGTGTGTGTAGTTACTCGGTCAGCTGGAGAACACCGGCCCTCCTCCAGCAGAGAAAGAGAAGATCTCTTCTCTGCCAACAGTCACCATAACTCAGGAACAAGCAGGTTGGTCATGTCTCATCACTTCACTGTGTCACCAGGAGTCACTTTAACTCTCTCTATTCATACAGCGTACGTCACTGGTTCCCAGTCTTGGTGTCATGGTTAGGGTTGGGTGGTATTGTTCTTATCTTTAGATAATACCACAATATAGGTTATTACTTGAGCAGGAAGGAAAGGAATAATCTGTACACTGAAATATTGCAATATTTCATTTCCTGTTACTGTATCAGTTCTCTAAATCAGGGCTTCTTAACCTTTTTGACCTCGGGGCCCAATTTGTTGAACATAAAGTGACACGAGGCCCAGTCAGACATTACTAATGTATGGATCAAAATGATAATTATAATCTTGGTTTAATTTCTATTGTATTTGGATTATAACTAAATTAAATACACTTAGTTTAAAAGTAAAACTCCTGTCAAATAATCACAAGACATGATTATGACAAACATTTTTATATTGTAACCTGCCCATAACTATTATTTGAACAAATACAAAGGTCAGTCAACAGACCACTCAGGTTTATCAACACAAATATAACATTTTTTAACATAAACAACAACAACAACAAGTATAGACAATTCAATAAATAAAATTGTGATCATAAAATAAATACATTAAAAATGTTTAATGTAAATGTTTCAAATAAAAAAACTAAAAATAAATTTGATAAAGTACAAATGAAAATCAAGCCTTTTTAAACTTTTGCAACCAGAAGCTGCTCTTCATATTAGTGACAAACTTTGGTGTTTTTTGATGAGTTACTTTCATTTTTGCTTCTACTTTTCATTTAAAATAAGTTTCCATTCTCAGCAGGTTTCTAAGGTTCTTCTTCTACATATTAAAAAGTTGTTAAATATCTGAGTGGTGCACTACTGCTACTAGTGGTGAGAAAGTGTGTTGCACCTTATTCAAAATCAATGTGGTCCCACGGCCCTCTGCGGCCCAAAGTTAAAAACTGTTGTTCTTTTGAGGCCCTGAAGGTGGCGCTCATAGGTTAAGAATCTCTGCTCTAAAGCACTATATCAGTGTTTAATTAAGGATTAAAATGTAAATCCTGCCAGTGTTGTGTTGTAATTTATCCTCCAACCACTAGTTGGCAGCAGTCAGCCAGCCCATTTTGCTCCTCCACTCCGGAGGAGCCAGAGAGTGTAATGCTAGCTCAAACGCTATCCGTTTGGGACACACTGTCCGGACTGCAGTCTGCAGCCAGCCGTCACAATACAGAAGATGTGTAGGCATTTGTTTAGTGCCCCGAGCTGAAGGGGGTCCTGAGAGACTGTACTGAAGTGGCCAAGTGTAACAAACAGATGAAACACTGAAATGACAGTCCTTACAGTGCCCTGTGACTGAAACAGCTGCATTCATTTACTGAACTCTATTATAAATATAAAATATGCCATAAGCGTATTACCAAACATTTTAATGGCACATTTCGACTGACCATGGACACCATGGATGAAATAATTCTTAAAAATTAGAATTTTGGGAGAAAAATGGCCTTATATCAACTTTCTTACAGTATCACAATGTATTGTATTGTGATTCGTGACCTGTGTCATGAAATGTATTTATCACCAAATTCTTGCCAAAACACAAACTATCAACACAACTTAAAAACTGTTTAGTTTGAAGTCTCTACTTTTGACTAGGGCTGTGTATTGGCAAGAATTTGGCGATACGGTACAAATCATGACAGAGGGGTCACGATACGATATATCACGATATATTGCGAAACTGTAAGCAAGGAGACATATTGCAATTTTTTGTCCAAAAATTCTATTAAATAAAAAACTCAGTATGTTTTCTATGTATTTTATTTGTTTCATATTTCTTATTTCATCCATGTTTTCAATTATTAGACTAAATTTGCCAATTAATAGTTTGAGGATATATTTGTGGCAGCTTTTAGATTTTAATATTAATTTACTATAACAATACTGTCACCCAACTCACTTAACAACAGCCTATATGTTGTGATAAAGTTCAGTAAACGGAGGATGTGAAGCTGTTTTACAGAGTTTCTGGGATCAGCTGCATCCAGAATGTGATCTGCATACAGTTTAATAACTTTACCTAAAGAAAGCATTTATAAAGTAAAGAGGATTGGTCCAAGCACTGAACCCTGAGGAACTCCATGACTAACTGGTGTAAGAAGATTCGTTATTAACATAAACAAGTCCACTGTCTGAGGCCATGAGGATATCTTTAGTAACTTTCAGCAGTGTTTCTGTGCTGTGATGAGCTCTAAACTCTGAAACTCCTCATACAGATTATTTCTCTACAGATGTTCACATAGTAAAAACTGTTTAGTTTGACGTCTCTACTTTTGATTAGAGCTGCAACTAATGACTGTTTTGATAGTCGACTAATCGCAATTATTTTTTCAATTAGTCAACACGTTGTTTCTGTCACACCAACCTGTGCTTCCTGTGGTCACAGCTCCTGTTATCTAGTGTCTCTACCTTATCACATGTTCCCATAGCAAATTAAAATTATGACCCACGGCTCACACAGCAAGCTAACTGTGCTGATCTTTGGCCCCATTTTGCCCTTCAGATTTTAGGGTCGTCAGCCAACAGTTTAAAAGTCTCGCTGTGTGAAGCAGAAATGAGAAATCAGGACAAAATGTATGGAAGCGATTGTGTTCCATAATCCTAATTAAAATGGATTAATAGAAATGCTGTTTCATTTTCAACATGTACCTGATTTTTTTGACTCATAAGTAAAATTATAAATACATAATCCAAACTGTATGCTCATTTTCTTCTCCAAGACTGCTCAAAGTGNTTTAGGTACCGAAATGGAATTGCATGAACATTCACGTGGTGGTTATGTAATTGGAATTGCATGAACATTCACGTGGTGGTTATGTAATACAGAGAATCGATAATAAAAAATCTGCATTGACAAATTCACATAATCGACGTCATCGATTATTTCAACTAATTGGTGCAGCCCTAGCTGAAATAAATCAAATGATTAGCATTTAAAGTATGTGTTGTCAATTTCAACTACTACCACACCCTATTTTAGATCTCAACTCAGTGTTTACTTTCTGACGCTCAGTAAAATCTATTCAGTGGTTCATGAGATATTTTGCTGCTGGCACAAACACACGCACACACAGACAGACATGGGCAAAAACAATATTGTCGTTTCGCCTTCAGCAGCAAGTAATAAAGATGAATGACATGAATAAATTTAAGATGAAGTTTAAATGTTGGCACCAAAAAAAAAACAGTGAGGTCATGTTTTGCAAGCTCATCAGCCACGTGCATAAAACAAAACATTACAGTGAGCTCACTGGGATACACTGCCACGTGAAGTCTTATTTTGGGTGTTGACTAAAACACAACTGTCTACACAATGTACACAGTCCATAAACTCCCACCAATAACCTCACTGTACATGCAGTTAAACTTTAGTTTTACAATGTAAAACAGATGTGTGTAGGTGCTCCAAAATAAACACAAGTACAGTAATCACCGACAAACCTGCAAGGACCCTAATTCATGTTACCCAGAATACTTGCTCAGACCTCTGGATTTTAGGAGAGTTTGCACGTGAGACGGCGCACAGGGAGGGGTTTCAGAGTTACAGAGAATAGAGGGAGGAATCATTACATCAGAAACCAGAAAGAAAAAGTCTGTCACGAAATAAAAATCTATTCAGGAATGAGAAAGTTAAAAACTTGAAATAACTTGAGCATTTTTCTTAGTATTTTTGCTGCTGTGAATAAGTACATCTCTAAACACATTTGAAGATAAGAACGATGCTATTTTAAACCCTCACAGAGAACTAAGTGACACTGATGTGTGGTCTTTATCAAAACAGATAGACCTAGTGACACTGACATTTCAGAGCATTTGTTGCTTCATCTGTATGTTCAGTTTGTCTCTGTTGAACTCTGATATCAAACAAACTGAAGCCAAACATCTCTGCATGAAGTTGGCTCATGAATGTGATTTTGTTTAATTGGTTATATGCAAAACAGAAGCCTCTAGACTAGTGTTTCTCAACGGGGGCAGTACCGCCCCCTAGGGGGCGTTGTGACAGTGCCAGGGGGCGTTGGCAGCAATATTTACAAAAAGGGGGCACTGTAATACATTTGGGGGGCGTTTGCTTGAAGGTAAAATTTTCACCAAAGATTCACAACAACAGCAAAATAAACTTTGAATTGCTTGTGAAAAATGGGGGTCTGTAACATTAAAACATGCATGGCACTGCAACTGTATCAGTGTTGCCAGACGTACGATAATTATCGTATTTGTACGATAATATTGCCCTCTGTACAATATAGATCAATAATTCCAAAAAACCCACATCATACGATAATTTGACGGCTCCAATGTGTGACGTAATTGACCCAACACGCAGCTCACTAACATGAGAGGTGGCGGGTTGCGGAACACAGAGGTGGCGATTTAGCGACTTTCTCGCTATATTTACAGACCTTTCAGACCCCTCTAGAGACTGTTATTCATAAAGGCGACTAGTGAAAATCTAGCGACTCTTTTTCTGTTGTTATTGAGACTTATAGAGACTCTACCGTGAACGCATTTCTCCATTGTGCAGTGGGTGCTGCTGAGAGCTCCTCCCTGGTCCCAGAGCACTGACAGGCAGCTTCTTCACACTACGTCTCTCCCTGCTGAAGGTACATACTGTATCTATGGAAGCGAATATGTAACACTTTTTTAATTAAAATGGATTAACAGAAATGCTGTTTCATTTAACATGTACCTGAATTTTTTGACTCATAAGTAAAATTATAAATAAATAATKCAAACTGTATGTTCATTTTCTTCTCCAAGACTGCTCAAAGTGTAAATTAATTAAAATGTTAAATAAAACAAACATTGACAATTCATTTTCAAAACATGTCCTGGAAAAAGTGACCAAAATTCATTTTGAAAAGTCAAATGGGAAAATTATAGTGCATTAGCAGAAATGCTTTTTCATTTCAAAGTCAAACCTGCATTTGTTCACTCAGAAATAAAATT